TTGCACAAGGACATGGTTTAGCTCTGGTACTCAGGGCCTCACTGAACAGCATTTTAAACTGCATTTGGAGAACAGAGGCTCCAACTTTACACATAGCAATACACAAAAAACTTAATGATTAGGTGAGGGTTTGCAATCCATTCCATCCTCTCCCAAGTTATGGTACTGCACAAGGGCTGCAGAGCTCAGTGTGCATTCTGCTCTCACAGCCCCACAGAGCTGCTGTGCAAAATTTTCAAGTGGACTTTAGCAGAAGTGGCCATGCCAAGAGCTGGAAGAAGTTCAGAGATGCAAAGCCCTGGGGGAATTTGAGATAGGGCTGCTACCTACAGACAGCACAGAATGGGATGGTGTAATTTGAAGCAGCTACTGGCACTGTAAAGTTAAACAAATTTCATTTCAGCCTCTGAGCAGCCCCAAATCAGCTGATGACAAAAAGGAATTGCTTGTGCTCATGTACATCATGAAGATAAAAAAAAGCTATTCGACCTCAAAGAAAAAAGTTGGCAGAAAAAAATGCACACAATTTGGTATTAAATAAAAATGTAGAATAGAGAGGGAAAATTCCCTTTCCATGAGACTGCAAGGTCTGTGTGCCCCTTAAGTTCCCCTTAGGTGCATCCTCAGCTCCTGCCTGCTTTTTTACCTTACCATGCCCAAATCATCCTACTTTTTCAGACCATGTGCTCATGAATCTCTGACAAGAAATAATTGACAAAAGAGCTTGACTTGCACAAGCTCTTGCCCTGTTTCTAAACTGTTCCCTACTGTCACCTCCTCTCTCCTCCTGGCACTGTGCCCTGACAGTGGGGCTGTCACTGCACCACTGCTGCAACTGAGTTTTCCCTTCTGCTTTCACAGTGGCTGAAAGCCCAATTAAAAATTGCTGTGCAGCACACCTTTTCTCCCCTCCAGGAGTAAGATGGGAACTTACTGTTATGTACACTTCATGTAGAAGACATGAAGGACAGAATAGCAAACACCGTTACTGTTAAAAAGAGATTTGAATATGAATTTCTATCCTGGCTGATTTTGCAAACCCCATGCCAGGAAGAAGTTAAGAATCTTCTCTCAACATGCTCCCTGAAAAATAAGTAAGTCATTACATTAACTTAGACACGTATTGATAAGAGTAGGCTCGCACTTGCCCTCAACAGTGATTATCCTTGAATATATACTAATTTTAAAACCTAACCTATGTATAAGCCTCCAAAGATGTATTTTTGAGTCTCTGGATGTGGGTGAACAAAGGGTCAGGGCCACAGTGGCAATCCTCCCATATATTGATTCTCATTTAACTGTTTGCACCCTTTTTGTAGTGAGCAAAGATCACATTACTCCCATCACATTCCAAATTATAACTCCCAGTTTCATGGTAATACATCATGTTGTATAAATAGCAATGCAGTGCTCCCACAAGACACAACAATCCTTGAATGCTAATTACCACTGAGCAGAAAAATACAAAATTCTCCTACTTACAGCCATGCAACTGCCTTTAAGATGAATATGGTATAAGGAAACTTATGCCAAAGCTCTGTGACCTTGTAAAACACTTTTTTTTTGTGGGGTAGCATATCATAGGCTTCATCAGAGCACACCCAGAAACCGCCACCACAGACTTGGAAAAAATGAAAAAGAAGCATCAAAAAATAACATGCAAGATTCAAAGACAAATTTGCAGCCTTATTGTAAGATCATTTAATTTCCACTTATTCACACTGATTTATTTCAGAGAAAGTCCAGTCTATTTTCTTCTCCAGGTAACACTCATCTGAATTTCCCAGTAATCCTCTACTGATTGTCAGTGGGTAGCAAGTGTGAAAAACAAGTCACATGGCAGATTAACTTCACTGTGGTTGTTCAAAGCCAAGTCTAAGTCCAAGATTGGATCCTAGATAAAAGGAAATCCTGATAAATACAAAGACCAAATCCTTAATTCTGAGCTTGCTCACTTGGACAAATGCAAGCATAAAACTAAAGTAGCTTTAATACCAATCATTTTTAATTTGTAGAGGAATAAGCTGAAATCAGTGAGATTGTATCTGTTTAACTTATCCATGATTTTGGCCTTATACTGGGTTTCATGTGTTTCCCTTTTGCTTGATGCATTTCAAGGGAAATAAAGACTTTATGTGGGATATAATTACCATTCTGCTCTAGTATCTTGAGTTATTTTTCCAGCGGAAACTTCTGGGTGGGAAAACTTGACACTTCTAAAAGCATGCCAAAATTCAGTGCAAGTTTATATTTACCAAAGGAACATTTGACATTTCATTGATGCATCACAAAGAGAAATAAGGGACACACCTGACAGGATTATCTCATAATGAAGTATTTTAAAACAAACAATGGCACTGCCCAGCAGTAAGAAAAGGCAAAGCAAAGGCAGGAGAATTGAAAAGGAAACAACTCTGATCTGTGGAAAGTGAGAATATTACTCAGAGCACAATGACACAATCCTAAGTCTCACAGTACAGGAGAAAGCTTGTAAAGCATATCCAAAATGCTGGATATTTTTTCAATATATAATACAAAAATACTTTTATATTTCCAGTGCAAATACAGAAGTGCTTTATTACAATTACATACCCTATCATCTTGAGTATATTTTATAAAATCAGCCATGCATAAATTTTAGTGTGGTGACATTAAATTTCTTTAGAGATGTTTCTGGTTTTACTCCATCTCATTCTAACCTGCCTTTCTCACACAATTTTCACGAGATCTCTAATGACACAGTGGTTTTCTATGCCCAAACTGCCATACATAAAATAGATTGGGGCTTATCAGAGATTTGTTCTATTTTTCAGTTTCCTCTCTAAGCCAGCCTCAACTTTCCTGGCAAATGATAATGAAAAAGACCATTAAGCAGAGCAATAAAGAGTAATATAAAAGCTCATTATAAGCCCAATTCATAAAATTACAAGCCGTAGTGTGCAGTATGCACAAGTAAAACTGAAACCCAGGTTAAAGCATACCAAATGAGATTATAAATTAGCTGTTGTTTTTTTCTGAGAAAAGCCATTCTTTAATGAGCTTGGAAACACACCTAAATATTTTCTTTCATAAATTCAAGAAAAAGCCATACCACTTTTGAGACTTCTGCTGGGCAGCTTTTTCTCGTCTCTTTTCCTCTTTCAAATTTTAAATACTGCATAGGAACCATTTGCTCTGTGAGGTTCCCATAGTTAGGACCAAACCCTTCTCAGAGGAATTTTGGCACCTTATTAATTAGCTGGTTATGAGAAGGAGCTGCACTCTTTCAGTGACTCCTATTCCGCCCTCAGTAAAGTGTGATACCATAATAAATTTCCATCAAGCAAACTATTTCTGGTAATTCCCCCTAATTAACACCAGACTGCTAATAATAAATTAGGCCTATGTGTTTCTGATATAACCAAGATCTTGTCTGAGCACAAGATATTAACCAATGTCCCAAGAAAGTAAAACTTGAACCTAAATTAAGCCTTTGCTGGTAAAAGGATTTATATGCAATTTTGTGAGAAACCCTTTGAAGATCTCATATAGGGCATTTTGACCAGCAAATATTTTGAGTGACAGAGAGATTTGTTCTGTGCTGAGCAGTGAAAGTGGATTTATTGTGAAAACACACCATTGAGTTTTAAGCCTATAAATCTTACACTGGATTACAGCATCTTAATGAATGAATGACAGATCTCTTTTTTTTTTGGTCGGTGCATTTTAATGTTACATGACGTTGTGATTGATAGAAACCAAACCTTTGCCATTAAAATGTCAAATGCAGACTTCATGCCTTTAAAAATCTGGCTTCTGGAGCTTAATGTACTGTTTGCAAATAGACTTGCATTTGTCTCACTCATAGCCTAAACACTGAAGGGGAGGCAAGTTTTCTGTAAAGTTGCCTCTAAATTTTATAGAGCTGTGTGCAGCGTTTTCCTTTGCCTGTGTAAATAAAGGTAAAAAACAACAGTGCATTTGCCTGTTTAAGAGATGTTCAGCTAAGGGGATTCTTACCAGACTGGTATTATCCTGAAGGAGCTGGCTGTGTTAGAGCAGACAGTCAAGTGTTCCACAGTGAAAAGAGAGACTGTTGCATGCCAACGCTAAGTACGGTATCAGACAATACTTGCTAGAGCAGGCAGCATTTCCTTGGACAGTGTCAACTTAGGAAAAAGTGTTAAAACCTTCAGACAAATGGTGCAAAGTATTCTAGACATACTCTAGAATGGAGTAAGGACAGCAAATAAACAATAATTGGCCAATGTAATATTCAACACAGTGTTCAACACCGTATTTATACCTTTCCATCCATTTTGAGGAAAGATGAAGAATCAGAGATTCTCCGAGGCTGGAAGGGACCTTTACTAGTCCAAGGACTGTATCCAGTTGGGTTTTGTGTATCTTCAAGTAGAGAGACTCCACAATCTCTCTGGGCAACCCATGCCAATGTCTGCCATCCTCACAGTTGTCCTCTCACTATATACCACGCCTGGCTCTGTTTTCTTGACTCTCCTATCCAGGTGTTTGTACACATTGATGAGATCTCCCCTGAGTCCCCTCTATTCCAGGCTGAGCAGCCCCAGCTCTCTCAGCCTCTCCTTTTATGACAAATCTCCATGCCCCTCACCATTTTCCTGGCTCTTTACTCCAGTACAGCCATGTCTCTGGTACTGGTGGGACCAGCACTGGACTCAGCTCTGCAGACAGGCCTCACCAAGGCCAAGCAGAGAAGGATAACTTCTCCCTTCTGCTGGCAATGCTCTGCCTAATGGACCCCAGGAGGCTGGTGGTCTTCCTTGTCTCAGCGAAGTTATCACTGGCTCATGGTCACCTTGGTGTCAAACAGGACTCCCTGGTCCTTCCCTGTAAAACAAAGTTAAAAAAACCCCACAAAACCTGAAGAATGAGCAGCTCAAATGCTACCTATTCATGAGTACAATCATGGCTTACCTTTACTGGCTAGGATTCAGGGGAAAAGAAAATATCCAACAAGCACAAAATAACTGAAGACAGAATTTTAGGTTTTGAGTAGGGTTTATTTGCTTGTTATGTTTTTCAATTATAATTAAATTTGCAAATGTGAACAGCCAAAATTTAATGCCAAAGGTTATTAAACACAAGCAAAGAAATCACCAGGATTTAACAGCTGGTAGTTTAGCACAAAACAATGTTTGCAAAGCAGCTGACATGGCTAGATGATGCAAGTAGCTCTGAAGAAATAGGTACACAATTAACAGACCAACACACACTGAACCACAACTCAACTCCTGCTTTTAAGTTTATGGCATTGTTATATTAAGCATTTATATTTATATGTAATCCTGAATTATTTCATTACAACATACTGAAACTGTCATCATGGATCAATTATTCACTTATAAAGACATTTCACCTTCAAACAGAGTTAAGCCAAATTCTCCCACAGGCAGCTTTGGAAGAAAAACAATGACTGATTGAAAATGCATGCAAAGATTTACAGTAGTTAGGTTACTAATATATCTGTCTTGACTCTGTAACATTCCCTTATAACATGAATGCTATATGTGTGTTGTGTGAAAAACAGTTGGGAATCTCACAAAATCCCCAAATGATTTTTTGCTATGTTAAGTCTGCATTCAAATACACATATATCCTTATTATCTCTCAATGCACAGGCATATGTGTGCATGTAGAAAGAAGTATATTTAAACACATACACTCAGACCCCAAAAGATTCTAGAGGTAAAGGCAGGCTTACAAATAAAACAAAAGAATACCAGGATGAAATAGTTCTAAACAACAACAACAAAAAAGGTAATAAATATTCAGTGAGATATATGGCATTATTATAAAGTGCTCTACTAAAATCTCACTTATTAAAATAACGATAAAAATTATGTTCCTTTTAATTGATTTATATAATTTGGTAAAGCCATTAAATATTCATTATCTATCAGTGACTATATGCTTCCTTTAAAATTTTAAACAAATAGATAAAAGCAGAAATTAAAAGGCAAAGCAGCTAAATGAAGCAGTTCTATTGGAGCCTTTCAGGCTTTTGTCCTCAAATTCATTAACAACTGCAAAATTTCAAACCCCAGAGCATATGGATTAAAAAATAAAATTCCAATTAAAATTATGAGGGTAAACAAAATTTAATTGGATTTTAAGGACAATGACAAACTGAGAAGTTTTTATCCTACGTTAAAACTGCAAGGTTTGAATCGCAGAAATTATGGAAAGCCTTTTTCTGTGCATTTCCCTCCCTCTTCCCTCACACATGTGCAATAAAACTCCACTGAAACCCAGTCTGTAGGTCTCATTTCTCCACATTCCACTTAATTTTAAAAGTAACCTGGCTTATATGTTATTGTATCTTGTCCAGTCTGCTTCCACCCTTCTGATTTTCAGCCAAACTCACAAAAGGGTACATCTACAAGAGTGTAAACATTTTAAACAACTTTATACCGTACCACCAAATTTCTTCTTATTTACCAACATTCATCAAATTTACCAAATTTCTTCTGTACCACTGGGAGTTAAGAAAGAAATGTGGTAATATTGAATAAAAACAACTTCAGGAAATAAAGTGAAACAGCCCCACAATGTGAACCTGTCTCACCAAATTAATAAAAAGCCAAGTATTTTTTCATATTTCAGTACAGCAATTTTGGTTTTCTTTCCTCCTCTTTTGTTGATGTTCCTTGTTACAATTGCTTTACTCAACTGTGGCAAATTTTTATGACTTTTTTATCCACGGTTTTATGGATAAAACCATTTGTTGAATCAGTAAAAAAATCCACTCCACAACAACAAAACCAGTAAATGGTTATTTTTAATGTCTACTAGAAAGAGCACTAAAGACTAACATTCTTTTCATTATGACACCCCAGTTGAATCAAACAGCAAGTAAATTCAGTTTCCTTCAGGAATCTGCTCTGGTCCCGAGAGCCCCCTTCTCTGTTGCGCAATTCTGCTGAAGGAAATTCATCCCTGGCTGCCTGCAATTGCTCCAATTAAACCAGTTAAACCCTAATTTAAGGCTAAGGGGGACTGAGCTGGTCTTGTGCTGCCTCTCTGTGTGGATGCAAAATTTGTATCAAGCCACAGAATGGCTGATCTGGCTCATGGCAAATGCGTAATGACAGCATTGTCTCTCTGCTCCCTTGCAAGATCTGAGAGGTACTGAGCTGCTTAAACCAGTGGATTATCATTTTTCAATGCATTCCCTACATTTGGAAGAAAAGAGAAACATAAAACCTAAACTAATAAAAATTATAACAGCTGAGCAAGAAAGTTTAAGTTTTCAGTATGCTACCTGGCACACCACCAGTATACATATTCATGAGCTACGTGGTAAAGAATGTACTGAGAAAAAACCAATGTCCTCAGCTGCACTTCAGCAGCTTCCCTCTTTCAACACCAGGATCTCATATTCTGGACACAAAACACTGTTACCTGCAGATTCAGCACAATTTCCCCTTTCCAAGGCACTTAAAACTACCTAAAACCTGAACTGCAAACAGAAGAGTGGAAATCCCAGTTCCTTTAAGATGTGATCTGACATTTTCATCCTATCAAACACACCCCCAGCAGCAGAGGGTTTTGGCTAGTGTTCTGGTAGGTACATGAGTTACAGAAAAGTATCTCATTTATATTTTCTGTTAAGTGGCATCTTCTAAATATTATTTTTCACCAGCATAGCCACTTAAATGCTTTGGAAAAACCTCTATCCCTTGGGACAAACACATGGGAAATTTAAGTGCAAAGGCACAGGTACATGTAGTTGTGTAGGAGGTTGTCTGTATTTGAATATCAGGTTAAAAAAAATAAGTTTTGGAACCATATATTTTATCTAATCTTATCTTTGAGTTCCTTTTATTGGAGTTTAGCTGCAATACTTTTGGACATGCTTTAAAAACATCACCAAAATAATGTTATCTGGATTGCTGAATCCAATCTCCTTTTATTTGTTGAATAGCAGCAAGACTGAGACTTCTAATATCAGGCATTTACTTTTATAGATACTTCACTTCTCATAATGAAACTGATATAAATGTGGTCATAAAATCATGTAAAACAGTAATGTGCGTAGCATAAAGACACTCTAATTGTTTGTCTTGGGTGCAATTCCTGATACCTTTCTTTTTATGAAGCAAAATTGTAAATGATAAACACTCTGAAAAATTAGTGTACAATCCCTTCTTCAAGTTTCCACATCTCTCTTCCATTTTAGAAAAATTGTATATAAATAATTTTAACCAATTATTGGACATTTTAACCTTTCTGCTCAGTACATTTGTTACACAAGATGAGCTACAAGTATCAGATGTTGATAGAGTGGGCGTGTTTCTTGCACAGTGGCTTGTCCTTCTTGGAGAAGAAAGTCTGGCCCTCCAAGCTGTCACTACATACCTGAAATGGGATAAAAAGAGAAAAGAACACCCAATTCAGATGGATGAATTGCACCATAACTATTCAGAATGCCTGGTCATGGTACTGTTTTATGCATAGATATATTCAAAGATTAAGAATTACCTTTTTTTAAGGGATCCTTTTTATGTAATACCAGTGGTTGGTGTAAGCATAACCTTTACTAAGACAACAGGGATTTAACTGGGAGCAGAGTTAGATTCAGAATTTAAGGAAAAAAACCCCAGTCATTAGGATTGGGGCTTCTCTTTTTGTTGCTTTTGGTTTTTTTTTGCTCATGTAACATACCTTGTATACATTCGTACCTTGGCTACAGTGTCCTTATATCAAGACCCCTCTTGCTACTCTGGAAACACAGCCCAGTCCCTTACTGCCTTCAACACTAACTCGGAGGAAGTAAACATCAAGGGTTAAACGCTGGGACACAGGGCTGAAATCCAGAACACCTTCACTCGCACACGTGCCAAAGGCTTACAATAGCAACACACCTTCCAAACAACTGGGAAAGCACTTTTTGTTTGGGCTCAGGGGATTGAGAGAGGTTAGAGCTGCTAACTCCCACATGGGTCAGGTTAGCACTGCTGCCAAGGTTTGTTGAAAGGCAGACCAGCTTTACTTACAGAGCATACAAAGCAAGTGTCATGCCAAGTGTGGCCCAGGGCTTCAAGAAACCTGTCTCCAGCTTCAATGGGGAATTCACAGCCGTGGCACATCGTACCAAAGAGGGCGTAGTAATCTGCAAAGAGATACAAAGAGCTTTTAAAGCATATGCAGAAAAGCAGGACTGACCCTCTGAGAGCTTTGCTCTTTCATTGGCAATAGGTTTGGACTTGCTGATGTTTGTTAGACTGAGTATACTGAAAATAGAGTTCCGAGATCAAAAGCCTGGGATGTTGACTTCTTGCTAATTCAGTTCTTTTCCTCATCCTTTCAAGTGGGCAATGCTTCCATCTTCCTGGTGTTTAATTTCCTTAAGATCAACAGTGTGCTGGAGTGGGGGAAATGCACTCCTTGAGAGCACTCACATGAACTCTACATGTTCCTTACGTTCTCTCCAACTCTGCTTTGAAAGCACACCCCAGCTGTTCACACTACAGACCTTCTCAGAGTAATGAACTCTGACCTACATTCTGGCAGCATTTTTGCCCCAGATTGCACTATTCAAAACCATGTAATCATTAGGCTTCTGTCCTAATTGGAGTCTAGAAATTTGGATCAAGTCAGAATACCTTTCTAATCACTAAAATACATTACATGGTTTTTTAAAAAAAAACAACAAAACAAAACCCCAAAACAAACAAACCCTTCCCCTTCGTTACTGTGAAGAACAAGAAGCTTCTCCAGCAATCTCATGAAGCAGGGACTAAAACAAATGGCACTGAACCATTCATATCCCCCAGCCCAAGTTGTCCGGTCTTTTTCACTTATTTCAACTTTCAAACATCCCATTCTAGGAAGCAAATGTTTCATTCCTACGGAGACAGCAGTAGCATTAGTGCTATAACATGAGAGAAATTGGCACCAGCACACTACCATGGCAAACATGTCATGCAATATTATTTCTTCATAAGATGAACTACAGTCAAAGTGACAGCCATAATGAAGCTTTGGACTCCATCTACCAGTAACAGAGTGTTACTACCATAGTAATACTGTCTCTGACAGGGAAATTAGATGCCAGAGGTTGTTTCCAAAGGAGAATTAGAAGGGGTGGGAAGCGGATAGACTACACAGATCTGCTGAAGCTCTAATGCTTACTGCAGCAGAGCCCACAGAGGATCATCAGATGTGTCAAGCCCAAGAGAAAAGTCCTGGTTTTGTTCACTAAGACAGTGTTTTGTGTGATGACCTCCCTGAAAATAAATCATCATCGGAGATATTTGAACAGGATGGGGAACACAAGTGCTCTGGAGTAGCAAAGCCCTTGATGAAGGCCAATGGAAGAAACTGCTTCACCAATCACCTCCACTAATCCATGCTACTGGAATGAAATTGTAAGTGTTTAAGAAGAAAGACAATAAAAATACCAAATGGTAGAACAATGTGCAAAAATCCCTGAAGGCCATGGTCTCATGACTGTACTCTTTCAGCTCTTTGAATTTGTGGTCATACAAAATCTTACTGATATTTTCCTGGTGCCAGCAGTCAAAACCTTTTGTAAGTTGGCCTGTGTTTGTGTTGATAAGTTTATTGGCTTTTCTTCTGAAGAAAGGGCAGCAGATAAGGCAGAATGAAGGACATCAGCTTTCTTTTGCATGCTTGAATTGTGATAGCACAGAAGCCTTGCAAGGCAGATTTCTTATATATTCACATATCAGTATTTCCTGCACACAGCATTTTCAAAACAAGGCTACTAACTCTGCACTTAGAAAAAGTTCAAAGTTGTAGATATCCAGACTTTTATTTTAATTTTAGCCTCAATATCTACACCCTGAACATTCTGCAGATTAATCCTCCTTCAATACTAATAGCTGATGCTGTTATAATTTCAAATACAGATTTAAAATTAGAACTCTACTTTGCACTAGGAAGAAGGAAAGTTGGCAATGACATTTACTACTTATTTATTTAAAATTAGTCATAGGCTCATAACTCCAGCTGGACTGAAAGTCTTTGAAAAATTAATATAACTCAAATTAACATCTAGTCAGTGAGCCAGAGCCATTACAAAGTATCACTGCCAATAACACCTCACAGATTGTGTCTGCATTAACTTGCACTAGCAACTTTCTATCTCAGAAATAAGCTTAGCAAGAAGTGTAACATACTTGACATCTTGCCACAGTTTTTCCCCACGCTCACAGTATAGAAAAAGGCATATTTTACACAAGAGTTGTAGCAATAGCACAAATCAATGCACTGCATGACATGTGGGTCATTTGGTGGCAGGAACAAGAATTCAACCTTAACAGAACAAACCCTGTCATGAGCTTTCCACCCAAAGGGGAGTTATTGATTCCTCCAGTACTATTTTTGAATCATCAAATGGTTCCAGGATTAGGGGCTTCACATTGCTTCAGGATGAAATTTCACCGTACTGTCACACTGGAGGATGCTGCTCATATACCCGTTTCCTCTGCTGCTCCACAAATTCAATAGGAGCAACACCCTACCCACCCTACATTTGTCACCAAGTTAGCAATAACCTACTGTCCTTTTGTATCTGCCAACATCTCATTAAAGCAGCTCTGACAAGAGAAATTTTGGATAAATTTGGATAAATTGGCCTACTTCCCTCATGCTTACAGTACCTAGCACTCTCCCTGGCACCCACTGTGAACAACTCTGGGATCAGCTCCGAAGGAAATCTTAGCTTCAAAGAGGTCATTAGAATTTCATGCTCAATCCTTTCTGGTCAATCCATTTCTACAGCTAGCGAAACTGCAATGTGCCTAGGAGTAGAAGGAAAACTATAATAAGGGTCCAACTGACAGTTCCAATCCAGCATGCACAGTGAAAACAGATAATTTTGATACAATTTTGTCTCTTTTCCGTTTTGTGTGAATTGTTTTACAAATTGTTTATTTCTTTCCTAGCTCAGAGGGGTAGATGGAAAGTTTTAAGCAAATTAGAAAACCAACTTAAATAAAAACTGTTCATATTAATAATAATAGGTTAACAAGAGGCTCAACATGGCCTGGCAATGTGCACTCACAGCCCAGAAAGCCAACTGGATCCTGGGCTACACCACAAGAGAAGTGGCCAGCAGGCAAAGGAGGGATTCTAAACCATGTCCTCTACTCTCCTAAGACCCCACTGGAAGTCCTGTATCCAGCCATGGGGCTCCTAAGACAGGATGGATGTGAACCTGCTTGAGCGAGTCCAGAGAAGGTCACAGAGATGCTCAGAGGGATGGAGCACCTCTCCTTTGAGGGAAGGCTGAGAGAATTGCAGTTGTTCAGTCTGGAGAAGAGAAGGCTCCAGGCAGACCTTACAGCACCTTCCAGTAGCTGGGGGAGGGCCTAGAGGAAGGCTGGAGAGGGATTTTTTACGAGGACATGTAATGACAGGACGAAGGGGAATGGCTTCAAACTGAGAGTACATTTATATTGGATAACAGGAAGACATTTTTTTACTGTGAGAGTGGTGAGGCACTGGAACAGGTTGCCCAGAGCAACTGTGGATTCACCATTCCTGGAGATGTTCAAGGCCAGCTGGATCGGGATTTGAGCAACATGGTCTAGTGGGAGGTGTCCCTCCCCAGGGCAGGGAGGTTGGAATCAGATGATCTTTAAGGTCCCTTCCAACCCAAACTATTTTATGATTTTATAAAAGATGTTATGATTAGCTAAAATGGAAGTGCTAAAAGTCAAACCAGAAATGTTCTGAACTTCTAGGCCACATTGTTCATGTAATATTGCTTATCAGGCTTTCAAATGCTGTAATTGTATCACTGTGTTTCTCCCCTGACAGTTTCTTCATCCTTGATCCTGCAAAAAGCTACCTGGACAAGACTGCTTACTCTTGGAAACCCCTCAGGCTGTAAATAAGGCAATTCACAGAAAAACACATTACTCCACTGGCATTTGTTTGTGCTTGGTAAATAAATAGATTTACATAAACTTCAGATTATTTTAAACCCAACCAGAAAGTCACCCTAAAACTAACACTTTGATGTATCACTGATACTCCAGCTGATACTCCAGCTGAGGACTTAACAGGAATAGGTAATACCAGCGACAAGAAGCCTGCTGCTGCTGAAGCTGCTGAAGAAATCCTCACCAACTCCTCCTGCTGCAAACTTAAAGTGTCTACAGCAGCAGTCGTTGCTTTGAATTGACATCTCAAAGTTTCATGAAATTGCTGGGGCACTTGTAACGTGCAGCTTGAGAAATGGGAATTATTTTTTTCCCCCCCAAACTTACTGAGCTCTGCTTTCCTGCACAGCTGCAATAAACTTTAAACTCGGGTTGTGTTGCTTCTTACCCGTCTCACAGTAGGGATCACCATCTTCTAAGTGAAAGACATTATTGCGGATGGGGTTATGACAGGCCACACACACGAAGCAGGAAACGTGCCAAGTTTGTTTCAAAGCATTTATTACTTCCTGTGGGGATTAGAAAAAGTGTTAGGAACACATTATTTCGATGTGATGACTAGATTGTGGTAGCCATGCCTCTACACTTGATTCATTTCAAGAATACTTTGTTTCCTGCTGCTATTTTGAAAATGGGTTGTGCACACAAGTTCTGCGATGTTAAACATAATGAGGTGCTTTATTTATGGTACATCTCCTTATTTTTCATGAGCAATCCTTGGGGGTTTTTGGAAGGTTTGACATAGAGTTGGACAAATTTTAACAACTCATTTGTTCAAATTCTTAATTTCAATCAGGATCTCATCCATAACAGTCCCCTGAAATAAGAAAAGCAGCATCTCTGCCTTCTCCTGAAGACGGTGAAGGGTTAATCAGAAGACATCATACAGAAAATTATGACTACTCTGTGCTGTTTTGGAAGATACTACAGTGCCAAATACAACTTGAGAATTGTGCTGCCAGAGCCCTGCATGACCCGTTACACAAGAATGCAGACACATTGCTGTCTGCAGTAAAACAGCAGCCGATCAGCTGGCAGGATCAAATGAGCCATATCAGTGCCCAGTAGGATAATGCTTCTTTCCATCTACATTAACACTGGGAATATTTCAGAACTTCGTATCTAGCAAGCAGTGTGTTCTTAATGCTCTGTTCACCTAAGGAGGATCTTTTTATTTCCCTCCCTTGCTTCCCCTTCCCATTCTGTAAAAAGCTGCCAATTAAAAGCATTTTGCTCAGGAAAATTTGGAAATTGCAACAGCTACAGAACACCTTCATGGAAACAGGAGCTGAGCTTAGAAGAGCCAAGGAGACTACAGCACCTTTCCTCAAAGAGATTGGAAAGGTTCAACATTAGAACATTCAAAGGCATATTTTGTATGTAATGAGAGCAGAAAAGGTATGTCAGGAGTACATCTGAAAGAATGCAGGCTGGGCCAGGTAAAATGGAATTTCATTGCAGAGAAACACTGAACACTGTGATCATTGCTCCCACCAAAAAACAGGCCACTTGCTGGTCACCTACCCCAAGGATCTTCCTCTGGCACTTTGAACACTCAGGGGCAAAGAACTTCTCATAGCAGACCTCACAATACAGCATCCCTTTCTCTTCCACAAATCCAATGTATGCCATGGAGGTTTTGCAGTGGGCACAATTAAACTCCTCTGGATGCCATGACTTTCCCAAAGCCACCAAGAAGGGTCCTCTGATTAGAAAGAAAAGATATTGTCAGCAAATGCACCTGGGCTGGCACCTACAAAATCTGTTAACAGACTTATCTGCAATAGTTCCATGCCATTACTACACTACTCACACACACACACTGCTCCATCCCTCTTTCCTCCTACAGGCTCTAAGAAAGCTCCAAGTGTTGACTGTATTCATCACCATTGAACTCTCTCCTAGAAATGCCCACCCACAATAAACACTAATTCTTTTCACTTGACTGCATTTCAGAAATTTTATTTAGAACTACATTAAATACAGTGCTGAAGTGTCTGCTAGGGAAGTGAAGAAGAAGGATGTTTCCCATGTTCCCAATTCCATCTCTTACAAAGAGATATTTGACTCAGTGATATGATCAACTCTCCTATAGTCTGCATTCATATTGAGACTAAAAATACAAATAGACATGACCCCACTAGGAGCAGATAACATCAGTTTCTTCTGAGACAAAAATTCCATCAACTGTTCCTATCCAAAAAGTTTCTTACAAGATAATCTACCACAGTTATAGCAGGATTTTTTTGTATTAAAATAGGTCCATCTTTTCCCAAACACACAGCTTCCTTCCTATCACTTGCAAATGCAAAATAGCTATACTTTTAATAGCATTTGTCTGGTTAATGCAATACAGCTAATAGAAAATAAATTTAAGCATTTTTTCATTCAAAAAGTGCCTCCAAGGTCCCACCAACACTCAACCTTCCAGAATTTAGGTTCAGAACTTTGTGGTTCAAATTCATCTCCCTCACCAATTTTCCTGGTTTTCCATCACCTATAAAGATGTAATTCTTTCAAGTAATGCTTAATTTATTCTGATCTAATACTGTACTGAAAAAAACCCTGAAAGGTACTAGTATGACCACCTGTTGCTAAACATTATTTTGGAAATCAAGTAATCTACAAGAATACTTTTTGTGTAAGATTTTTATATGAACAAAGCAACAACAATAAAGAAAAAAACGCAAAGAAACAAGAAAAAAAAACCAAACAACTCCCCCACCCCCCAAAATCCACCTTGACATTTGATTATGTTGACTCTAAAATGGAAATACAAGTGGGCTGAGGAGAGAGAGCAACTTCAGCAAGGATAGAATGCAAAGACTCATTTCTCTTCTACATTTTCTCTGGTGACACTATGTATTTTCAGCAGGATAACAAGTCAAAGACAGGGGACTCAAACAGATTTAGGATAACCCAAGACCTCATAAAATGATGAACATATTTAACCCAGGCCAGTTTCTTCTATTCACCCCTGTTTATTGGAGGGGATGCAGTGAAAAAGGGCTCCTGAAGAGAAGCTTGCAGTTCTTTAAGGAGGGAGCTGGGGCTGAGTGCAGCTCTCCAGCCCTGCTCCCAGTGGATGCCTGAGCAGTGCAAACACAGACCTAACTCGATACCCTCCCACTGCTCTACAAGCACCTTTTTACATCAATGCCCTCTCAGTTATGTACTGATCAAACAATACAAGCCCTTATGTACAACAAAGTGCCCTTACAGCGCCGTGTCAGCACAGGCTAATTTAACAGATTCATTAACACGGGGTTGACACTAAAGACGCTCTCCCGGCTCCAGGTAGGATTGAGTTTCTGGCCATCTGCACTGAAATGACAGGCTCAGCTCTGCAATGGGAAGCAGGCATGCTAGCAACAGGAGGAGAAGGAATTTTTACATCTGCTGCATTTAGCTCTCCAGAGTTTACAGCCCTGCTGGCATGCTGAGGTCAGCCATTCAGGACAGTGCGCAGGAACGCAGACGGACGGGGAGTGCACCTACGGAGTTCCTCTCCCAAAGCCCCCAGACAGCTGGGGCTGAGCCCTGCACAATGTCTACGAGGTGTTCCATTAGTGCACTGGCTCCCTGTGCACACATGTCCAGAAGAACACTGTCTAAATACAATTTTACTTTCAATCAGGCCGCAGTTTAAACATGTCAAGCTGATACTGTGGCTTAATGATACCTGCAACTTAAAAGCTGCCCCAAAGCACATGGAAGGAAAAAAACAACCAAAAACCTGCCATGTAAAATACACTAAAACATGATATTCAGAACTTGGAGGAGTTCCCGGTCTCTGCATAATTTTGCCATCAAAATGATAGCTTCCAGTAATGAAAGGTATTTATTTCCTCTATTAATTTGAAAAGGACTTTAAAGTCCCAATTTGAGTAAGGGGGCAGGATGCCCACAGTCACGCAATGTGACAGAAATAGTTAGGGGGATGCAATGCTAGAAAGATGGCTGTAGATGCCTTCATCCTTTATTTCATCTCCATTTAAAAACAAAACCAATAACAATCCCACATGCCTCTGTCAACTAGAACATATTTATAAAAGTAGTGCTAAAAACCCATGTTCCTGCTGTCCAAATGAGATATGGGATGACCCAACTGGCAACAGCTGGCTATGAATGTGTCTCTACCCCAGGCTACTTTGACATGCTGAGCATTTCTGAACAAATTTCTGGCATCACCACCTAGACCACATGAATGGAACTCAGAGATGAAAATGAACTAGTCATTTATTTATTTTTTGGAGATCCTGATTGATTTATGAGAGTATTTGCAGAATTTAATGCTCCAAAGGATCACCAAGTACATGATCTTAGTGGTCACCTCAAACATCTGGTTTCTGTGTGTAGCAATGATATTGGGGCAAACTGAAAGGAGAAGTGAGCAACATACAGGAAATGTAAGTGCAATTTCAATGACTTAACTCTCGTAACTGAGTGTAACTTCATCGGTATGATCACGATGTATTGTATTAGTACGCCAGTAATTTCATTTCTCAGATGGCTTGCATTGTGATAGCAAGCCAGAACTGAAATTTGGTGGTAGAGAGATCAAAAAGGATTTCCACATCTGCTAGGAAGGTCAATTGCTCCACAGTTAATCATACAGAAATTCTACATTCTTGGATGTTTCTTCTCCTCCCCTGAAAATGCCACAGTGTACAATTTGTGTATAGGAGTGCTGAAGGGAAGCACCATTTTTCCCTTTTGCCTTTAAAAACAACTAAGCTTTATGAAAAGGTGACAAAGCCAAATCATCATTCATAGCAGACATGCTAAAGAGTATGTTCTCAATGGCAATCCAGAGAAAACATATTTGGACTTCAAAGGAAGAGCCAACTCTGCACTGCAGAACTTGGTAGGGCTGTCTGGGAACCAGAAGTCTTCATCAGGAAATGCCAGAAGTCTGCCAGACCGTCACAGCAAGTAGATCAAGAGAAACTTAGTTTGCCTCCAGCTTTGATTCTTTTAGACATGGAAAGAAAAGCTTACTTAATGAAGCTTTGGAAAAAACTGGAACCTTCAGACAATCACTGTGTGAATAATTGAAGATATATTAAAAAGTTATAAGGTGTCTCTAAGAAAGGTTTTGGCTCATCCAGCCATGTTATTCTATGCCTGAGTGTAAAGTAACCTCCAGAATGCATTTTGGCTTCAAAACAGATGTACAGTGCAATGCCATTTGATCCTCCTCCTACCTTTTCATAGGTAAAGCTACCACTGAGGGCATGAAGTGTAATTATGCTAAAACTTGAACTCAAAATGCCATTGCAGTCTTCCAAATCCACAGTTTGCCGTGAACATGAGGCATATTTGGCATTGATTAACGTACATCAACTCATGTCCCAACACTTGTTTTTAATAATTGAGCAGGCATTTAACATATGAAGAAATATAAGGATTTAAACACCACCAGCAAATTACAAAGAAGTCAGACGTGGGTACCAATTACTATTAATGAAAAGGTGTCACTTACAAGAGGTGACAGTGGCTTAAATACAGTCAAGTGGGGCTCTGCAGTTTGTCCTCACATATCCACTAAGGAGTAAATGTTGCTCCATGGACCAATACACTGCCCTGTCTAGAGGGCAGCAGCTCATCTCTTTCAATTTTGATCAGACTGGGTGAGCGAGGAGTAGCAGGAAGTGATTTAAGGACCAAGAGGAGAGGGGAACTGCTCTGAGGACTGAGACCCCACAGCACTGAGCACCAGCACACCCCAATAAAACACAACTGCTGTAAAAAGAAATTAAGCCTTTTGTATGAAAGATGCAGCATATAGTTCACATTGTGTTTGGTTTAAAACTAAAATAACAGTACAAAAAAGGAAGTGAATGGTTTCTCGCATGTTATTTACTAGACACAAATCCAAATCCCAGAGAACTAAAAGGACAGAGTTTTAAAGACAGACAGAATTATTATAGGCCAAACTGTTCAAGGAATCAGATTAATCTCATCCCAAAAATAAGTACGCCTTTTCTGATATTAATCTTTGATTTTGCAATGAAGAAAAAAAAACTGGACTAAGATGCATAGGTGCACCTGTGTTGGGAAGGTGTGTAAGCATTTTCTATTGCTTCAAGGGGGTTGGGTTCATATATTTTTATTTCCTTGACATAATCCAGTGGAATAGGAATAATTTTTTCAAAACATCACAGATCCATTAGTAAAGAGTCTTCTAAAATTAGGTGCTAACTGAACTGGTAGTGAACTACCACAACAGAAATCTCATGGAAGCAAACAAGCTGGACTCAGTTAATCCCTAAAGATCAAGTGATTTACATGGTCTGGTTCTGAATCCAAGCCAGGGCTCAAGAGGCTACAAAAACCCATGGTGGAAAGTCTGATTTTCTATTACAATGAACGAAAATTATACAGCTTATGGAATTTCTCATTTTTCAGAACTTTCTAATCAAAAAAGTCTCTTTAATCATGGTGAAACATAATGCAGGCTCTCCTATTCTGTCTACTGAAAACATGGGATATAGATAAATAAAAAAAATACTATTAAAAAAACATTACTTTCCCCTTGTAGTTCAACAATACAAATGACTGAATAAGCAAGAATAAAACACTTTTGAAGAACGTATTTCAATAATCCTAAGAGATTTATATTTTAGGGAAGAAATAAAATGGTGGATGAAAATGAGGATGATTTGCACACTGGCAATAAAAGCAGTTACAATTCCCTGAATGAGACAATCATGACTAATTGTCAGAAATCACTGACTCAACAATGCAACCCAGATTCAATTCTTCCTCCATACAAAATTCTGGCTAATGGTAGGATATCTTTTGGGATCAGCAGAACTTATTTAATTTAATCTCTATTGGCAAACTTGTGTTTGTTTTGCTTAATGTTCTCTACCCATGTCATACAAGTCATGGACAATAGCTACTGTAATGTCCAAAGGCCAGAAAGCCCATCAAAGAGCTTGAAATCCAGCAGTGTAGGAAATTATTATCAATCCAGTGCTAGTAATTGTTAAAACATCTCTTGCTTTTCTTCTGTGGATGTTATTTTTCTTCTTCTTCTCAGTTTGAAACTACACTTTAGAAATCAACATTAGTCTTTCTAAGGCTATGCTCTCTGGTTTCCAACTAGCTAATAGTCCCAGTTCTATTAGAATGGGTATATACATGAAAACTAACTTACTTTTCTTTGGTCTTACCCTTACTCCATTCCACTCAGCTTTCTGGTTATCTGTAAAACGGACTGCAAGACTGTGATTGTTAGCAGTTCACAGTATTTTTCCTCCAAAGTAGTTTCATTCTTGGTTTTGTTAGATAAACCACACATGAAAACAGTGTTCCACATTACCAAAATGAAGCCCTAAACCACTTGTGACAAAAGAATCAAAACCCACGGAAGAAAAACAAAGCCCTGCTGTGACAGAAGCTGCAGGATGAACAGAATAATAGAATTTTTTAGGTTGGAAAAGACCTATAAGATCATAAAGTCCAACTGCTCACTCAGCACTGCTAAGTCCACCACTAAGTCATGTTTGTAAGATCCACATCTACACATCTTTTGAATACCTCCAGGATTGTTACTCCAAGACCTCCCCTGGGCAGCCTGTTCAAGTGCTGGACAACCTTATTGCTGAAAAAAATTTTCCTAATATCCAATCTAAACCTCCCCCATCACATCTCGTGGCTATGTCCTATCACTTGAGGAATATTATTTCCAGATGATAAAAGAATGATAAAAGTACTATTGACTGCTGACTTGAGTACAAACCTGCTGATTCCCTTGAACCAACCTCCATATCACTGCAACCTCCTTTCAGGCAGTTGTAGAGAGGGGTAAAGGTGCCTCCTGAGCCTCCTTTTCTCCAGCCTGAACACCCCCAGCTCCCTCAGCTGCTCCTCATAGGATTTGTGCTCCAGACCCTTCCCCAGCACTTGAGGCGTGGCCTCCAGTGCTGAGCACAGGGGGACAACCACTGCCCCAGTCCTGCTGGTTGCTGATACAGGCCAGGATGCCACTGGCCTTCTTGGCCACCTTGGCATACTGATGGCTCATGTTCAGCTGCTGTTAACCAGCAGCCCCACGTCCTTTTCTGCCAGGCAGCCACTCTGCCCCAGCCTGTAGTGATGCCTGGGGTTGTTTGTGACTCAAGTGGAAGACACAGGACTTTGTCTTATTGAACCTCATAAAACTGACCTTAGCCCATTGATCCAGCCTGCCCAGATCCCTCTGCAGGGCCTTCCCCAACACTCCAGCTCAATTTAGTCACCTGCTAAGTGTGACTAAGTGTGCCCTTGATCCCAGTCTGGATCATTGATATAGATACTGAGCAGGACATGCTCCAATAACAAGTCTGGGGAGCAACCCTGGTGACCAGTTGCCAACTGGATTTTGCTCCATTTATCACCACTGTGGGCCTGGCCATAGAGCCAATTCTGCACACCCCAAAGAGTGGCCCCAGCAAGCAGATACACACCTAATGACCTGGTTGCAGTGTGCACACATGGGAGTGCGCTTCCCCGCTGGAATATGCTCCGCTCGCTGAACCAACGTGTCTTGCTCATTTAGCTGCGGTGTTGTTGCAGGCTTTTCACTCGGGGCAGTTGTTCCAGGTGATTTAATACTGTTTGATGCCCATCCACTGACAGGAGCTGGGGAAAGAATGCCAAAAGCATTTAGAGGACCATCTTTCAGTACCAAGTAAATTAACTTGAAATACAAACAACCAACAACATTTGCCTAACATCATTGTCCAGTGTATACCTGCCTCCTGGAAGGAACATACTAAAAAATACTCATTTTCCCCTTCTCCCCCAACAAGTTACCAAGAAAATCCTACCTACTTTATGAAATGTCTGTGAAATAACACAGAATGGTTTTGGCTAACTTGGAGAGGTAGTGGACAAATTTTAACATGTTGAAGAAGTTAGGTAAAAGAATATACAACCTGTGAAGGCATTATTTTGTTTTAGATACAAAAGCTGAAGCCAAGAACATCAGTGTATGAACAGAGGCAGGAAAAAATGACATACCTACACAAAAAATTTCACAGTGAGTGCAATTGATCATACATCATTACTAACAAGTTGAACAAGAACATACATTCAATACATGTGTAGGAATTTAAAACAAGCAAAATTTGTTTCTACATTGAAATTAAACACTGGCCTAGATCAGTGGATTCTGCCAATCTGAAGCACTCCAAAGGTCATGTTCACATCCTCCTTATAAAAGTATGACACAAATAAAACCCTGACATTTTCAGAAATGTATACGCTACACACTTCCACGTGTACTCAGGGTTTTAGAGCTGGAGAACAGACAAGCTTTTATGGAGTTTGAAAAATGCATTTACAAAAACAAAAGGCACAAACGATGCCTGTTTTAAGGGTAGTGAAGAAACAAACTCTTTTCCTCTGCTTTTCTTTTCCCTCTATTGATATATGTACCTTGGTAACGTACAAGCTACAACAACATGGGTTTATGGGATGTGTTATTCCTTTCAAAAGGAGGTATCTTTCTTTTTCAAGTACATTATAAAAAAGCCCACATTTCCATAGCCTTTTGTTTGCAACCACAGGCAAAAGAAACCTGGAGTGTTTACTTGGTGCCCTGGCTTTAGTACAGCCTTGCTAAACCTTGTAAATCAAAGAGTGAAATTAAGACCCAAGTGGAAACTCAGAGGCAAACAACCAAGTAATGACCGAGGCATCACACAGTGCACGATGATGCCTCTGCTGCAGAGATGCAGCTCTCCAACACCAGGGTCAAGGCACTGCTATGTAGCTTTGCAAAAAAAACTTGTTTGTGGATTTGTTAATCTTTGTGCTATTTGACCTCTCTTGTTTTTTGTATCTTCCAGGAAAAACATGGTATTTTTTTTCTGTTCATCTCCATTAACATAATGCTGATCAGCCTCTGTCCTACAGAAATGTTGCAAGTCCTTTTCAGGCAAAACACTGCATTCCCTGCTGAAAGAGAAGTGCCATACTAATTCACAGAGAAGATAGATTCAAGCAACACTGAATCCACAGAAAAATCCAACATAAATGCCAATATTGTGCTATTTGCAGACTATAGCCAAGCACTACACAGTTTAATCAAAACACTACCATGAACTTTAGCAATCCTTTCCTCTACTCACATGTAGGCTAAGACAACACATCTGGAAGAGAAATCCTGCTTAACACCAAAGCTTTTGTACTATAATTAGACTAGCTATTAACCTGCTGATATGGGCTCAATACCTACTTTTGGTTACTCTGTGTATGAAGAAGAAATATATATCTTTTTTTGTTGTTGTTTAAGTGGTTGGTTTACCAAAATTTCTCAAATCAGATAATTTCAAGACTGACATATTTTTGGATCCTTTTCAGAACCTTATGTAGCAAAAAGTATAACAATTTATAAGGGTTGCTTTTTTAAGTTTTACTTCTTTTCACTTTTTTAAAACAAGTCTGTATTTCATGCATAATTAATGAATTTACAGTATCTTGAAAAAATAACATCTTTGTTATTTTTATGTTATCTTGAAACATTCCACATTCCTGAGTGAAAATAATTTAGGAATAGAGGTACTTGATCTTGAACAAGTCACTCTGCTACTGTAGCTCACTTTTGATTATAAATGCCTGCTAAGCTGAAAACCTAGTAAGAGATAAAAATGAAAAAGGTGGCAGAACAGCTTTGAAGGCATGAACAAAAGTGGTGTTGATTAATAGCACTTTCCTCCTCTGTCATCACACATGGTTTTTCAATTTTCAGATCCAATTTCATGAGAAGACAGGAATACACACTAAACCCAAATCTGTTTGAAGACTGCTTTTGCCATAAATCAAACTGCAGCATAGCTTCTAGTGTGTAGCTAATTTCTGTTTGGGTTATCTACGGAATCCCAAAGCCCATTCAGACACATCAGCTGTCTAGTTTGCACTGGGTAGTTAAAAAAAGTCTTTCTGCTTGCTTAAGGGCGGGAAAAAAAAAGAAAGGACAAACATCACAATTGCTCCCTTTTCTTTGGTCTCATTACAGCTTTCATTACTGCTGTTTTTATGAATGATGCTTTTCCGAACACTACCCTAACTTCAAAGTTACTACTGGCCAGAAGGAGAATTTGTCTATTTAAACCTTCTCTACAAAGCTGTCAGATCAGTCATTTCCAAGTTATTTAAAGCACTAAAAAGTGAGAGGAGACAGTCCATCATGTTTTAACAAAAACTCTATTTTAAGCAAAACATAATAGAAACCACACAAATTAATAATGTGTCGAGCAAGAGCTGTGACCTGAGCAAATCCAAGCTGGGCATTTAGCGTTGAGGAAGCTTCCTGCCCAGGCTCCCAATTTGTGCCCAGAGCATTCTCACAAGGATTCTCTTTCTCTCTTTGCTAGTAATCACATTAAGACCTTGTTGGTCTTGCACAGTCTCATTCCCCTCTATTCCTCTTCCGAAGTGCACTCGAGCTTCTTTCAGTTCAGATTTTTATTCTAAAAGGAGTCAGTCTGCTTCCTTTGCCTTCAGAGCCATATTCTTATTAAAGAATATACACCAGTAAAGTACTCTAATATCTATACCTATATCAAATACCTTATTTGATATACTGGTTTCTTTGCAAACCTTCTGCAGTTCTCTAGATTTATTTCTTTTTTATTCACCATAGATCATTCTCCCTTCCTCACTGCTTGATTTGCCTCAGCCTTTTATTTTCCTCATTTCCTTCTGATTACCATCCAGAGGATAGCTTTTATTGACCACTTCTGTCTTTTCACAGGTCACAAACATACCTTTAACACTTCAGTAATTTCACCAAAGGTTCATTACTTTCACAGCAACCCATAGACCATTTTTTTGTTGGTGGTGACATTTTTGTTTATTTGGTTTGCCTTTCATTTTTAAAAAATCCAATATTAATTCCCACTTAAATCTATATGAATTGTCAGTACTTTTCCCAAAATATTCCTCCTCTTGTAGCTAGAGAATTTCAAACATCAGGCCTGTTTTCTTGTTTAGATAGAACACTGATATTTCCCATATATCTTTCTACTTCAACAGTAAGTTTAACACTCCTGTGGACAAGATGATTTTACTGCAGAGAGGAAGGGGATAATCTGAGTTCATGGATTCTCTTCCCTTCCTTTCTCTTCTCTATACCCTTGGAAATCTTTCAGATTGAAACACAGCCATTTGATTTAAAAACATCAGGCCCAGAAAACTGATGCAAGTGGTTTTTTTTCTTGCAATGAGAGATTTTACCAGGGCACATGAGGAATGCCAAACCAGGTACAAATCTTTACACCCAAACTCAGTGAAAACCTCTCAACTCTTGGCAACCAGTCTGAGCTCTCCTGTAGTTTGTGTTTTATACTTGGCTTTTTATATTTTACACATACAATCAGCAGCTTTGTTCTCAAGGAGTACTGGGGAGATAGATGCCCCAGTAGTGTCAAGGTGCAAGCACATTTTTAATTGCAAATGGTGACTTATTAGTAATGGGAAGGGAAATTGGCCTCCTGATGACACAATCTCAGCCCATATTTTCCTGTTGCCAGCTCTGCTTGAAATGGGACAAAGCACAACAACTTTTGTGGGTGGTCTGAGGATTTAAAATTAAAATAAAAAAATGCAATTAATAAATAAAATAAATAATTTATAAGAATTATATACTCCGGCAGAAGCTTTTCTGACCTGAGTACCAGAGGGTTTTGGGTTCTGCAAGTCATGACAAGATGTCTGTAGCCAAATTTTTGAGTTTTGTAGGCTTCACTTCACCTTCACTCTTTTTAATTAAACATTCTAAACCACTGTTGATTTACACTGATGTACTGTCATTGCTGTTTTGTTTTTTTTCTAAAATCAAAAACACTCTGTACCTGACTATTAACTTTCTACTTTATTACATTTAAGTTTAGCAAACCCACAGTGTTTGCTTTCACTAAACTCCTTGGTATGGCTAGTTTAATATTTAACATCTTTTAGGCAGGGTAAAGAACTGCCTTTTTTTTTTTCTTTTTTTAAAATCCCAGTGTGACTTTGCCCTTGTTAGTCTAACAATAGGTTGTTCCATCGCTGAGCACATGGATAACTGCAAACACTGCTGAAAGGTTTGGAAGACAAAGGGAGAAAGGCGGATACACAGTGGTGCCAAAGTCACTTTGACAGAGGTTCTCTGGTGCGTAGCAACAATACAACAGCCTGAACTGTTTAACGCTCACTTAAACATAACATCAGCCTTCGTGTAATATCTATAAATAACAATGCTACTTGAAGCAGTGGGAGTGCCAGAACTCCATTTTAGTGTTCTCAGTGATTTATACACTGCAATCAAACTACTGTATTATAAATGGAAAACATAAAGCTTCATACGTCCAATTTTCTGACTTTTCTTAATATATCTGTAGTGTAAGAAATCTTCCTGTTCCTTCCCTCAAAACCAGATGGCCAGATGAAGCAATTGAAAAGCTCTGCTGTCAGCTCACTGCACTGGCTGAATGTAACACCCCATCCACTCCCAGGTCCACACAAAATCACACCAGTTCAGGGCAGAATGCTACAGGACAAGTACAAGGTGAGAAAAAAACAAAACAAAACCTCAAAAAAACTCCCCTCAACAAATGCAAAGTTCATCCCCCATGTTCCGTAGCTGTTTCTTTTGT